TGTGTGTGTGTGTGTGTGTGTGTGTGTGTGTGTGTGTGTGTGTGTGTGTGTGTGTGTGTGTGATATCTAATGGTATTTAAAGTACAAAAAATGGTTTTGGTATTTTACATGTAACAGAAATGTTCTTACTGAAGTGTGTCAGTGCTTCCATCAACCCAGACCCAGATGTTGTTCAGTTTACGTAATCCCATCCAGTATCCATGCCAGATGTCAGGGTCGTAGACCACAGCTTTATTACTGACGAACTCCTGTTAAATTGAACAAATATTCACACTTTTAGACTGATATTGTTTTTAATAATTTAAATATGTGTCATTCAGAAAGTTAAAGTTGTGATGTTGGTCTCAGAGCTCACCTGTTCCTGCAGATTATTAATAATAACCAGATCTGATAATTTGTTCTGACAGAACTGTTGACTTTGGTCCCAGGGCTTCAACAACTTCCAGTTTTCATCAGAGTTTACTGCAGTTTCATTATAAAACAAGTAGCACTTTTTCTGGAACAGAACCCAACCAGTTGGACACAGCTGACACTCTGTTCAGAAAATAATATTAAAATGACAGAAATAGTTATAACAAGCTTATAACTCAGATCTAACGTAAAATATTAGAACATTTTGATAAAAAGGCAACACACATTCTTTAAACATAAAGATCTTTAATAATGACAGGAAGATATSCTCTCCTTGCAGTATAATATTGTAATCCATCTAACCTGAGGTATACCTCTGACATGACTTTGTTAGTGCTGCACCCTGTTGTTTTAAGTTCYGGGGCAGTGTGTGAGGCTATGTTCTGGCTGTGTTTGTTGTTTGCTAAACAACTTCTGTGACATTTACAACTGAAATRAGTCAGAAGCCTTCAATCATTTACTCAATTGTCAGTTTATTTTTTTCACCCCTTTCAACAACCTCCTTCAGTTGACAGTGAGCTACCTACAAACCTCGTTGTGGAAGGACATCAACCCTTGTTTTTGTGTGTTGTTTCTAAATCTCATGGACATTCTAAGAAGGATCCTGTTTTGGACAGTTTTCACATATGATTTTTGGAACTATTTCCCAAATCACCATGGAACTCTGAGCATTGTGTCTGAGCTTTGAATTTTGARCTTGTTTGGAGCTGGACTTGAACGCTGTCTTGTCTTTGTTTTCATATTATTTTTCCATTTCCTTCTAAATATTTAATACGAGTTCTGTGAACTTTCTGTTTCAGTTTTTTAAACCCTTCATGACTGTCGATCTTACATCTGGTTGCTGTAAAGTAGCTTCTATAACTGGTGAAGTGGCAGTCAGTACTGCTGTAGCCYTACTGTGTTACAGTATAAACATGCAGTTTATATTTATTTGTTGCTATATGTTGGGTTATAATGAGTTACATGTGATTGTTCTATTAAAGAYCTTTAAGTAATWACTGACATAGGTTTAGAGTTTCAGGACAGCACAGAGAAGAACTTACTTTGGTTGGGGCAGAAATCTTTTACAGGAAAGTTGTCAAACATCAGGATGGCTCYTAGAGTCCAGTTCAGGTTGTTTCTTTCTTTGCTCAGCTGATCAGTTTGGTTCTTSAGGATTGTCACGTTGTTCTGCAGTTGTTCAGTCTGATTCCCTAAAATCTGAATCCGGCTGTTCAGATCTCTGGAGTCGTTCATCAGCTTCTGAGTCAGATTCTGCAGCATTAAGTTGTTTCCTGTCAGTTGGTTGTTTTGAGTTGTTAGGTTTTGGTTTTGATTTGTCAGGTTTTGGTTTTGATTTGTTAGGTTTTGGTTTTGATTTGTCAGGTTTTGGTTTTGATTTGTTAGGTTTTTGTTTGTCACAGTCAGTTGGTTGTTTTGATTTGTCAGGTTTTGGTTTTGATTTGTTAGGTTTTGGTTTTGATTTGTTAGGTTTTGGTTTTGATTTGTTAGGTTTTGGTTTTGATTATTTAGGTTTTGGTTTTTCATGGTCAGTTGTTTGGTTTGATCTGTTAAGTCTCTGTTTGACACAGTCAGCTGATCATTTCTGCTACTGAGGGAACTGATGGTTGCTTCCTGCATGGACACTGAGAACCAAAGGAGACAGGACACGTTACTCAGTTTCAGACTCAGAAGATGTTTTTTTTTTATTTTTATTAATTTACAATTTAGTTTAATTTAGTTTTTCGTTTTTTCAAAACCTGAAAATAAACCACACAAACTTAGCTGAATAAAAGGTTTTTTTGTATGTTGTAAAATAAACTCACTTTCGATGGACAGGACGATGACAGCAATCACCAGAAGAACACAAAGTGTCCCCAAACACACARACACACAAACTTGACAGTTTGTTGCTGATTTAGATTCTGTTTAGACAGAAAACAACAGGAGAGTGAATTCGTTTTGTTTCTCTTTGTGTTGGATGTACAGTAATCTTGTATTTCTATACAGTCAGCAGAGTAAGTTATTGATTTGTGAATTAGTCTGAATTAAAATAAAAACAATCTGCTGCACACAAACCTTCAMAAAACAATTTCTAACAATCTTTCATTGACTCTGTAGCCTTTAAACTCTGTAAGTCAGTTCATGGGCATGGTGGGGGAGGGACAGGGTCAGGGCTCGATAAGGGAGAGGGGCCCATGAAAAATTTTTATTCAATTTCATTTTTTTAGCAATCTCTTAGTGATGGCATTTAATCTATAACTGAGTTGTTTTTAATCAGTTAAATTGTATTTTAAGGCTAAGACTGAGTCCAAGTCCACTCTGATAGTTATAATTTACATTCATAAAGTCACCAAATATTTCTGTAATTAATGGTAGTACATGAGCAGTTTTTATTATCTTAGCGATAATAAATTTCTCACATCCAAAAAGTGTGTTTCTTTCAGAGTTTCTGTATTTTCTGCATAAAAACAGAGCATCTTTGTCAGAAAACCTATTTTTACAATCAAATGATGCAAAGAACTAATAGTGATCTGGTATTTATTGATGTTATTTCCTGATATTTTCTTGACTTTTTAAAGCTGACTGACTTCAGGTGGCAGTAAATAAACCTAACACTTAATCCATCTGTTAGTGTAGGAGCTCAGAGTCAGAGCAGGTAGGACAGAGTGTCTCAGGTAAGAGATGAGGGTGATGGGCAGGTGTGAATAAAATATAAAATGTTATTTTGAGTAGATTCTAGTCAGTTGTGTGAACATAATGTAATAAATTACAGATTTAAAGACATAAACTACAGCATAGTTAACAACTTTATTTAATTTTGACCAGTATAAAAGTGATAGGCTTATTTAAATTTAACTTGTATTTGTAGGAAGTGGTAGAAATTAGTTTTCATAATTGTGATTTTCCTGTTTTTTTCATTACTTCAGTAGAAAAAAGAACTTATTAGTTTCTTAATTTCTTCATCATCAGTGATTTTTTTTAAGCAAAGAAAAAATAGAGAAAGTGTTACGATTGAGCTTGGTTGATTAGAACCCCAAGATGCAGAACTGAGTGAGGTGGCAAAAAGTGATTTATTAAAACAACACAAAAGGTGCTGATGTGGCAGCAAACAAGAACAAGGGATATTGGGCAGGAACATGAACATATAACAGAGAACAGAGAACAGAGAACAGCCAACAGAGAACAGAGAACAGAGAACAGCCAACAGAGAACAGAGAACAGCCAACAGAGAACAAAAATAAGGATCTGACAAAGACTGAGGACAAAGGACAGAATATAAAGGAAGAACTAACAAGAAACACCTGGGGAAGAAACACGAGGATCAGGTGTAAGTGGGCGGGGCTAGAGCAAAAGGCAGACAGGAGGAAGAAAACAGGAGGAAAAGACAGAAAACTTAGACTAAATCATAAGTACAGACACAAATCATGACAGAAAGAGGGAAAACAAAGAGAAACGTAATTAGAAAGATTGAAATAGAGATTAGAAGTATATTAAATATACACCAACAAAACACAGGACCACACACCCAACATCTGTCCGCTCACCTGAAAAATAAATGGATAAATACATGGAGGGCATATATAAATATATAAACATACCCATACATATATAAATATATACATACATACATGCCTACATTCATAAATATTGTCTGTATATACACATAGACATATATACACACTCAGTGACCTGTCAGAACCCCCCGGATCAGAACACCTGTTTGTGAGCAGTTGTGAACATGCGTGTATATACAAGATTTCTCCAATGGAATATTTAATAGTGACTGTGAAGGACCGAGACCCAACCCCCAAGACATGAGGCAGACATAGGGAAGACCAGAGCCCAAGGGCCCGAGAGGGATCCTGAGCGCAGAGCCCCAAGGGGCACCCGCACGGGAAGATCTGCCCACCCACCCCCCAGATCAGACCATAGGGGAGAACTGGGAGAGTCCCACCAGTGACCACACACACAGCCCCCGGGGCCAGCAGTGACAAACTCATGGGTCCCACCGGCACCCGCCATACCAGAGCAGATCCAGGAAAGGGCACAGAGGTCCGTGCCCCCACCATGGAGAACAGAGATGGCTGGATAATTTTATTTTTATTTTTTATGGCAATGTTCTAGCAATATTGCCAAAGAAAGTTATAGTTTGTGTAAATAATTTCACCATGGAGGACTGTAAAAAATAATGCCAACAGGATTTACTCAAGGACCCTCAGCTGAAAGGAAACTTCTGTTATTGTTCCTCACYAATCTGCAGATGGTGATAGTAAGTGATGTGTTGTGAGTTTGGTGTTGCTGCTGCTTCAGTTTGAACATGATTTGACATTTAGCACAATGTTGACCGCGCTGCCAGTGTTCTGTAGTACCTCATCAGATTTTGCTACTGTCGTGTGTTAGCACAGATCATCAGAACACCGACCTGGGGAATTGCATTTGCCTCTCTGGGCACCAGTCTGTCGCACACTCCCCTGGGGTGGCCACACAGCATGGGCTGCTATCCGGCTGCACGCAGRGACAGACTGGATGTGTGACCGAAGCCAGGCACCTTGGCGCTGGGGAAGCCAGCGTGCATTGCAGCCTTCAGGCTTCTGTGTCACCAGCGCTGTGGAGCGGGAGTCTCCAGACTGCGAGTCACAGATCTTAACCGCCCCTCGGTTTGTCTTCGCCAGTTCCAGAAATCGGCGAAGGACGCACGTTTTCCTCCCCACCACCAAAATGCCTGACTTCTATCAATAACGTGTTTTCTTTGTCTCTCTTCAGAGGAAAATACACCTGGACCAGTCCTGTGTTTGTCTGACTCTTTCCTGTCCCCAAACCCAGCCGGTCGAGGCAGATGGCCGCCTGTCCTGAGCCTGGTTCTGCTGGAAGTTTCATCCTGTTAATGGGGAGTTTTTCCTCTCTGCTGCAGTCGGTGTGCTGCTCAGGGTGGGAGACTGTGGTGAAGCAAAGATTCTGCGCAGTCTGCTGGCTTCTTTAGATTTATTGTTTGTTTTGTGTGTGTGTGTGTGTGTGTGTGTGTGTACAGTGCCCTGAGACAGCAGTCGTTGTGACTTGGCGCTTAATAAATAAACTGAATTTAATTGAATTGACTTCAGTCAGATGCTCCAGTCTGAAGTTCTAACATGAAAGCCATGTTGGGAGGGTGGAGTTCACGTAAAYAAAAGGTTGGGAGRGGGTGCAAACAGCACGTTCTGAAGAGATGTAAAGAACAGGCAGAACTGAAAAGGTGAAATTTCATYATMTGAGATTYATTTTGTATATTAAAATCAAATGAACATGTTTTGTATAGSCCACAGATGGATCCTAACTTGTTCTAGGACCCCCAAAATAGGCCATCTTTAAATTMTTTATGTTCTGAAGCTGCATGATGCCATGTCARTTTGTTATGATTGGGCCTGTCATCAAATCAGAAAAAAGTCAAATGACCCCTAGATTCACTATGGTGGTTATCATAATTACAGCTGTTAAGGTTGGGTTGTTGGGTTCTTGGGTAAAGTTATTCATGTTTTTAGTTTGAAACATGCAGTTGAGTTTCATTATAGTTTGACACAATATGTTGTGCTATAAATACAATTAAATTGATAACAAAATAAATGTAAAAACCTCCTCTAAACTTGTTTGGGATAAATTGTCACATTAATTTAATTATCTGACATTTTATATTTCCTTCAAACCTGCCCATCACCTTCATCTCTTACCTGAGACCCTCTGTCCTACCTGAGATACTCCTACCTGCTGCATCTGCCTCTCTGTATCCAGCTCCTACATCAACAGATAGATTAAGTATTATGTTTTTACTGCCATTTGAAGTCAGTCAGCTTTAAAAAGTCAGGAAAATAATGTGCAAATGAAGCTAGTAGATTAAATTATAGAAATAATCTGTGACTTTATGAATGTAAATAATAACAGGGAATCAATAAATAGAGTGGATTTGGACTCAGTCTTGGCATTAAAATACAGTTTAACTGATTTAAAAAACTCAATAATAGATTAATGTCATCACTAAGTGATTGCTAACATCAGTTGATAAGTGACCAGCGGAAAGCTAACTTTTCATGAGAACAATAACAGTCCTGTGGGGAGATTTTGACTTATATTTGGTTCTTTGTAAAGAATAAAATTGGAGTTAAGTCAGATTTTTACTTAGTGCAGCAGAAATTTTTTTGCAATAACTTTCATTTATTTTAATGTTTACATTTGTTGTTTTGTTTGATTACAATAAATGACTTCTCGTTTGGTTTCAGTAAAATGTTCTAACACTGTGTGCAGAACTCTCAGGTTCTTCCAGTCTGACTTCCGAGT